CTCTCCAACATTTATTATTTTGTGTTTTTTGGATTAATGCTAGCCTTGTTGGGGTGAGATGGTATCTCATTGTAGTTTTGATTTGCATTTCTCCATGGCTAATGATCGTGAGCATTTTCTCATGTGTCTGTTAGCCGCCTGAATGTCTTCTTTGGTGAAGTGCCTGTTCACATGCTTTGCCCATTTTTTAATTGGGTTGTTTGTCTTTTGTTGTTGAGGCTTTGCAGTATCTTATTAATTTTAGAAATTAGACCCTGATTGGATTTGTTGTAGCCAAAAATTTTTCCCCAGTCTATAGGTTGTCTTTTTACTTTTTTGGTGAAGTCTTCTGATGAACCTAAATGTTTGATTTTTAGGAGCTCCCAGTTTCTAGTTTCTCTTCTGGTGTTTGTGCATTGTTACTTATGGTTTGTATTCTGTTTTTGCCATGTATTAGGGCTCCTCGCATTGTCCCTATTTTTCCTTCTATGATCTTTATCATTTTAGATTTTGTATTTAGGTCTTTGATCCATTTTGAGTTAGTTTTTGTACATGGTGTGAGGTATGTGTCTTGTTTCAGTTTTTTGCAGATGGATATCCAGTTATGCCATCACCATTTGTTAAAGAGACTGTCTTTTTCCCATTTAATGGACTTTAGGCCTTTGTCAAATATCAGCTGCTTATAGGTGGATGAATTTATGTCTGGATTCTCAATTCTGTTCCATTGGTCTATGTGTTTGTTGTTGTACCAGTACCAGGCTGTTTTGACTACTGTGGCAGTATAATAGGTTCTAAAATCAGGTAGTGCGAGGCCTCCCACTTTGTTCTTCTTCTTCGGTAATGTTTTACTTATCTGGGGTCTCTTCCCTTTCCATATGAAGTTGGTGATTTGTTTCTCCATCTCCTTAAAAAATGCTGTTGGAATTTGGATCAGAATTGCATTGTATCTGTAGATTCCATTGGGTAGAATTGACCCTTTCACAATGTTGAGTTTTCCTATCCATGAGCAAGGTATTTTTTCCACTTATGTAGGTCTTTTTTGGTTTCTTGCAGTAGTGTCTTGTAGTTTTCTTTGTATAGGTCTTTTACGTCTCTGGTTAGATTTATTCCTAAGTATTTTATCTTCTTGAGGGATATTGTAAATAGTATTGATTTGGTGATTTCTTCCTGGAAGTTCTCTTTGTTGGTGTAGAGGAATCCAACTGATTT